GTCTCTGCTCCCCCCTCAAAGCCTGCTCTAGGAGCCTGTCCTCATTCACACGAAGGGGCGGGACCGCTGCTGCGGAGAATTTAAAAGGACTCTGTTCCCCAGGAGAAGGAGGGCAGTCCTTCTGGCAGGGGTTAGGTCTTCCACCCATCTGATGAAGCTAAAGCAGGCGCGAGGGGAGCCTGGGGTGGGGTGGGGGCAGCGGGCCTGCCAGGGGTCTTGGAAAACACACAGATAGATCCTTCTCTGCCTACACCTGAGATTGGTGCTTCTTGCGGATTCCCCTTTGGAATGGGCTCCCCCTTGCCCAGCCCCAAGCATCGCCTCCCCTCCAGGAGCTCGGCAGCTCACCTTCCCAGGGGCCTCTGCAAGGACCTCTCTGGCCCATGTGCTTGTGGTTTCCAAGGAGCAGGGTGGCAAGGACAAGTCCATTTCTGCAGGACTCCAGGGCCAAGCTGGCCTACACAGGAAGCTGGAGGGAGGAGCGGGGAGGTGCTGAGTGGGGTGGAGTGGAGAGGGAAAGCGAGGGCTGGGCAGAGGTGGGAAGAGCTGCTGGATTCCTGGAGGACAGGGACAGATCTGAAAGCTCATGAAAAAAGAACACACTGAGAAGAAACTGGAGAGACAGGGGTTTACAAATCCAGTCTGAAAGATCAGAAATAAGAGGACAAGCCAGGGGAGGCCGATGTTTGCACCCCGCTGGAGACCAACTCTGGCCATGCTTGCCCTGCTAACTCACACTCAGCGCGTGCCCGGGCCACCTTCCGCCAGCACATAACTCATGCGCGCCCCCTAGGATCCTTGCAAGGTGGTGGTCCCAGAGCTCAAACCCTGAAGTGTCTTGTCTGGGAGGGAAAAGAAACTCCTGATTCCACTCTCCACTAGGTAGGTGGGAGAAGTATCCCCAAAAGAGGCACCTGCCCAGTGTGGGACTTTCCAGGTAGAATGTATTGTGTATATTAACACAGTTGTGTATATTAAGCTTGCAGGTAACAGCCAAAATTTCCATTCTTCTTCCCTGCCTGAGGAGAGATGAACAGGTGTCACTGAGAAAGATAGCATCTGCCTTTGGTTTGGGACAATAAGTGAAATGGTACTGAACAGAGGGAGAGGCCCATGAAGGCAAATCCATCCCCAAGGTGGGAAGGCCCTGGGCAGCTGAGCCCCGTGCAGTGACCACTAGGGAAAGGAAGGCACGGGGAGGCCCAGTGACCACACCCAGGTCACACAGCTGGGCTTTGCACTTGGGTCGGTGGGAACTGCCAGACCCTCATCCACTTCAGCCTTCTCCTTCTGTCAGTTGCTCAAGAAAAGCAAAATTATAGAGTCTTTCGTTTCAAGTCTTAGTAGAGCTCATTTCTATGAGACATTTTCCTTTCCTGTCAATTGAGGCCATTAGGCAGGAGCCCAAAGGACCGTCCAGCACTAATTCTGTAGCAAACGGTTGGCCTGAATTCTCCAGAAACAAGTGGCAGTGGTCCAGCCCAGACAGAAGAGGTTGTCTAACAGGGACCTGAACTCACGGGACAAAACCCCCCAGCGTGAGAAGCTTCGGGGCCAGAGCAGGGGGCGCCGAGGAGTCTGACCCGTTGGCTTCCTTTTACTTCGCGGGCTCCCCGGGCACTAGGGAGGCTGGGAAGGGGTCTCTAGGCCTGTCCTCACTTCAGAGGTGGTTGTATCACCCTATATAAATAGTCCCCGAGCCTTCACCGACTGTAAGATGAGAATCTACAGCTCTACCCCACATTCCGCTCCCAGACGTCTTGGGAAGAAAGTTCTGACGGGGTTCAGCCTTCGGCTTCTGCTCCGGCTCACCTCGCTGGGCCTCCGGCTCCCCACGTGAACAGTGACAGCCCCGGGCCAGCCCAGAGCCCTTGCGTTCTATGACTCAGTGACGGGGATGCAGTTGTGGTGCGAGATGGGCAGGTGCCTTGCAGGGACCAGGTGTCAAGGGGAAGTACGGTTCCAGGATGACCGCGGCCTGTATCTGCCTCACAGAACTTACTCATTTCTGTTCCCCTTCCTCTCTACACTCTCCCATACTCACGGTTGAGGTCACGCACCTGGGACACCAGGGAAGACCAAAAGAGAAAACAAGGCAGGAGGCAAGCCAATGTTTGTAGAGGATATTGGCCCAGATTTTGTTATCAGGAGATTACCATGCACCACTGTTTACACAGAATCCTCCTGATGAAGGCTTGGCACCAGGTGTCCCAGGAGGCTGCGGTGGGGACAATAGTCTGGGACCTGAAGTGACAATATAGGCAAGCATGCTGGTTCCCATGTCTCAGGAGGGCCCAAGGAGGTTTGTAAAAAACCAGAATCTCTGGGGGTGAAGCCCTAGAGGCTGCCCTGCGAACAGATCCCCTCAGATGTGACAACAGCGTGGATGCCGTTTATATAGATGAGAAAGATGGAGAGAGGGGTGCCTGGGCGGCTCAGTCGGTTAAGCGTATGCCTTCGGCTCAGGTCATGATCCCTGGGTTCTGGGATCAAGCCTCGCATCGGGCTCCCTGCTCAGCGTAAAGCCTGCTTCTCCCTCTCCCTGCCCCCAACTTGTGCTCTCTCTCACTCTCTCTCTCTCTCTCAAATAAATAAGTAATCTTAAGAAAGGAAAGAAGGAAGGAGGGAAGATGGAGAGAGGGAAGGACTGGATTCTTCTTACCCTGGGTCTGCAGCGGACTTGGAATGGGACCTCATTCCAAGGTCGATGACTTACCCAATCTAGGTCTCAATTTATTTCATTTTAAAATGAAAACAATTCTGCCGGCTTATCTACCTCAGGGTCCTGGGGAAATGCAGAGAGAGGGAAGGAAGCGCTTGTCCATGCTCTCTTGTACCTCTGCAGGTCAGCACCGTTACTTCCATTGGATGGGGAACACGGGCTCCGAGGGGTGAAGCGATCTGCCGAGGTCCCAAGGCCCTGTAGGAAAAGGAGCCCGGCTGTGAATCCAGGCTTGCCTGGTTCCAGAGCTCTCCTTTCCATCAAAGTGCTCCTCGGAGAATTTGGAAGTCAGGTGTATGCTTGGGAGTCAGTTGAGGCATATGGACCAGCAGCACTGGTATCACCTGGGAGCTCATTAGAAATGCAGGTTCTCAGGCCCTGCCCAGGCTGCCTGCCCCAGAGTCTCCAGGGATCCCTGTGCCTGAGTTGAGAAGCACTGTTGAGGAAGACAGGCGATCAGACAAGAGAGTGAGTCTGAAGATAAGGGTGTGGTAAGCGTACAGAATCCAACAGAAATGGAAGATCCTCGCAGGGATGAGCAAGGAGACCGCCTTTAGTGGGACGCGCCGTGAGGAGTGAACAGGTGTGGAGCATCTCGGCCTTTCTGCCTGAGCTTCCGTCGCCCTGGAAGCACGCCTTCTCTGGGAAAGTCCGACCCTCCAAGAGAATGGGTTTTCAGGTGGAAACAAATTGCTTTCATCGGCGTATATGTATGGGGATGGGGGTGTGTGTTTCATTTTCAAAGGTACTGTGATTCCTTTTACTTTTAAAAAGGAAGAAGGAAAAGATCAGGGAGAAAACGTTTAGCAAAGCAAAGTGTCCTCACTTTTTCTGTATTTCAGGAGTGACTCCTTTATGGCAGAGAGCACCCACCAGAGAGGACAGCCAGTTAGGTGGGGGGCAGTTCGGCGTCCACAAGATCTTCTCTCTGCATGCTGGTCCTCAGGTTAAACTGTAAGACCCATCAGTTGGAAGGCTATCTCCCCCCGCCCCAATACTCCAACGGTAACAGCTCCCCTGCACAAGATGCTCCCTGCAGAAGGTCACGCCCTGACCCACGGCTCAGACGGGAAACTGGCAAACCGGGGCTTTGAGAAGTGTGGGAAGACATCCAGGCAGCACCCAAACTGCTCACTCAGGGGGAGTGTCAGTCCAGTACAAAGGAATGTCCAACCTGGGCCCAGAACGTCCAGTAGGGTTTGATTCGGGAAGGAGCGTCTCTGCTCCCTCCTTGCCTTTCCCGTGTTAGCTCTGTCGATGCTGCACGACGCCCCTGGGGGAGCTGGGCTTCCTTTCCAGTGACTTGAACAGGGGTTCTCATGTTTCCATTCCTGATTTGTATGCCCCATGTTATTTCACCCTTACGAGTCTCTTTTCTGAGACCCAAATCGGTCTGTGAAGTGTACAGACCCCCAGAAATAGTCCAGGCATCACGCGACCTCGGCATCCCAAGTATTCCATTATGTCCACGGCTCCCAAACGGGCCAGTTGGGAATATGACACAGACCTGCTCCCTGCCTTCTGGGAACTTGCAGGGTAAGGCAGAGGTAGTGGTGCATAAATTAAAGTTCCCCCTAGTTCGGGCTGCTCCTGCCACCCCCAGCCCTCGTCCTCTTGTACTGGCTTCAGACTACCCAAGCTGGAGTGGGCTCAACCAGCTTCTTCCGGCCTTTCCCTCCTTGTTTTGGTTTTGTTCTGTTTTTTCCTTAATTCTTCAAAAGTCTGGAAGAAGGGGACTTGGGTTGGGATGATACCATCATTCTGTCACTTCTAATTTCATTCTGTTAACAATTTTTTGAATCACATGGGTAGAAGCTTTGATTTTGGAAAAAAATGATGCACTTTTAAGTTTTGACTCCACAATGTCATTTCAGCTCGGCTGTAAACACTTCTAGAAGCTGAGTATGAAAGAGGAACTGCCTGCCCAGGCTCCCGCTGGGAACCCAGAGTCATCTCTCCCTTCCTGGTGCCTGATTTCAGAGATGAAGAATTTTCAGGGGGTGCTGGGAGGCGGGGGGCTGCGACTGGTTTAAAACCAAACGGTGCAGAGTCGCCCGGCCTTTCTCACCCTTCCTCCCTTCTCCACTCACTGGCGCCTTCCATCACCTGGAGCCGAACTGGGAAGGCTGGTTATTGACAGCTGAGCAATTCGCACAATAAAGTTTAACGGTTTACATCCCCTTGTATGACTCTGTCAATGTTTTCCATGGCTCACCTTCTCGGGGGGGCTGCTTCTCACACTCGTACTGACTCGCTCCTTCTTCTCTTTCCCTTCAAGCATGCAAACGCAAAGAGCAAGAACCAAACAAAGACAGGAACAATTCCCAGAAGAAATCCCGCCTGGTGTTCACCGACCTCCAACGCCGAACCCTCTTTGCCATCTTCAAGGAGAACAAACGGCCGTCCAAAGAGATGCAGATCACCATTTCCCAGCAGCTGGGCCTGGAGCTTACGACTGTCAGCAACTTCTTCATGAATGCCCGGCGCCGCAGCCTAGAGAAGTGGCAGGATGATCTGAGCACAGCGGGCTCCTCGTCCACCTCCAGCACTTGTACCAAAGCGTGATGGAAGGACTCTCGGTTGGGCACGGGTCACCTCCAGATGAGGACAACCGACACAAAAGAAAACACAAAGGAAAAAGACACCGGATTCTTAGCTGGGGCCCTTCACTGGTGATTTGAAAGCACAATTCTCTTGAAAAGAAACTTCTATTCTAGCTGTAATCATAGGCCAGGTGTTCTTGTTTTGTTTTGTTTTTAATGGCTATGGAGTCCAAGTGCAAGCTGAAAATTAATCTTTTTGAACCGGACCTCGTCCTCTGAGCATGCTAAGCATCCCAGAAATCCAAATGAGGGGCCTTCCTGGAGCGAGTTGATTTCAGTGTGGTGTCAGCCAAGCTTGGGATCCCTTCAGATGTCAACAGTCCCACTTTGGGCCCTGTCGCAGTCAGAGTTCCCACGTGTCATGGTGGGAATTTGCCTGTGTAAGGATTCTGAGTTTGGGCTCCCAAGATGCTACCATGAGAGATTCTTCTAGCAACAAGAATGACCTCATCCAAGTGCTTAGCCTCATCATACCACAGTACACCAAAGCTCACAGCCATAACATAAAAACATCAGAATGGTAATTACTGAGCACAACTTTTAAACACAGAAGTTAAAAAAAAAAATCCAAGAACCTGTTTTTCCAACTCAGGCATCGTTTCATTGAATGGTTTAGAAAGCTTTAAGTTGATCCAGTTTACAATTTTCTTTTCCTTACCTCCTGGAAATCTCACGTGGTCTTGGATCCATCAAAAAAAAAAAAAAATCAGTTCTCTTGAGCTCAATGTATCAAGCACAACGTAGATAAACAGAGAAGTAAGGAAGGTTCTGGATTCACCACATCTGGATTTTCAAGACGCTGATTGTGAAGTCATTAGGGAATCGTTGGGAATATGGCTTCAAGCACATTTTGCAGTTTGCTACAAATTCTGTTTGTACATAATGCAGACGCACACTCAGGAGGCCAATTTAACTGTTACGGTACATGGAGCAAATGCAGCATTTTAAAAGATCTAGATTTTTTTTAGATCATTGATGTATCCTTCTCGGTTATTAGTCACCTGGTTCCTCCTATTGTGCATTGTAACTACCACATGATTCATTCTCATTCTTTCGGATTTCAGTTGTTTCTTCATCCATCCCATTGGTAGGGACGTTTTTCAGTGTTTTCTAGCAAGAAAAAAAAAAAGAAGTAATTCAAACCACCATACATGTTACTCATGAGGGTCATCTAGTCCCAATCTCTTCCATTGTCGAATCATCCTTGCAAAACAGCTGAGTAAATCTGGAGAAAACACAGCACACCAAAGAAGCAGAATACTGCAAACCAAAGACATTTATTACTTGCCATTTTCTAGCCTAAAAATACTGTGATTACTTTTAGAAATCAGAAAACCTCTGCAACTCCGAATGGCATTCAGCTCTTGCATCTGGCTCACCATCGGGCTGAGCGGACCGGCTAGCCAAGCCACCCAGGGAGTGGCTTTGCCACACCAGCTCTGGGTCCTGGCTGTCACCTTCCCACAGCACGCAGAAGAGCGCCCACAGAACTCTGGGAGGTTGCGAAGGTCACGATGTGCATATTTACCAGTGAATGGCCCCAGGTGAGCCCCATGGGGGTGTTCGAAGCAAGCCAAACGCTGCAATGATTCTTTACAGACACTTGAGACTGAATTTTTTATGAATTACTTAATCGAAACCAAAGAAACTTTTTCTGCACCTACTTCTGCAACAAACAAAACTGTTCCATTAAAATGAATAAATAAATAAATACGTAAATCAGTGAAAATCACCACCAACAAGAAGGAAGCACGCCAGAAAAAAAACAAAAACAAAACAAAAAAGCGAGACACACTGTGTTTAAACAGACCTCTTGGGACATTTTTTGGAAGCAGATTTTAAAGAAAGGGTTGAGGCAGGAATAGATAGAAGGAAAAGCCTCGGCGGCTCCTGCCTCATTTGACAACTCACGCGGTAATCTTAAAGTTGAAGATTGTCTTTAATTTGTGCCTATGCAGTTTTTCAAAAGAACACGGAACAGAGCAACAGAAACCTCAACAGCTACAATACCAAAGATGAGGATTTCTCACATCTTTTGTTCAGTTCATTATCTCCTCTTGTCTGGCTAAAATACTAATAGCGTCATTGATCTGTGTAAAGGTAATCAATTTTGTTTCTGAGCAACAAAAGGCAAGGGTCATTGATTTGATTTTATTGTTTCCCTCTAATTTTGTTTTACGGCTTTCTGCCCCAACATGGACTCTCTCAAAAGGTTCCATGGACTCCAAGTTTAAGATGTTGGGATACTGAAGTATTATTCTCTCTACTCCTCAGAGTACGGGGAATAATGTCACTTGAATGTTCTTTGCTTATCCCGTAGACTTGGTTCCTTCTATGTTCAGAGTCTCAGCATCAGGGGAGGGAAGGGGAGTGAGGGTCAGGGTTAGCGGTCTTGGTGACACAGCGTCTCCTGAACCACAGAACCAAAGAGTTTATAGAGGAATCAACAGCCTCATTTTCATGTGATTGCTACATCCTAACGGCTTCATTTGGGGGTGGGGGGAAACATGTGAAAATAATTGCCAGTTTCTACTTTTCTATTAGCTTTTTAAAAATCAGCTGTAAAGTTGCATTTCTAAAGAAAGAGATATATATATAATATATGAATACATATATAGATTCAACTTGACATTGGTGATAACCCCAAATTCTTGCTGTCCAAATCCATGTCTTGTTTTGGTCAAGTGCTTCATCTATTAGGCCTTCAGTTCCGAATCTCGCTCATTTCTCATGCCATCCCAGAGTCCGTTTTCCACTGTGGATGATTTAGAGTACTCAGATTTCTGTGAAAATTCCCGGGAAAGGTTGAAAGTCAAATTCAAGCATTTCAACATTTAACCTGTTGATAAATGGATTCGTGGTGCAAATGAGTTTTATATGTATTTGGGGTCATCTCTAGTCTAATGCCTCAACCACCGTCAAGGTGGCAAGTGAGGTCTGTGCATGAGACCTGGCCCACCAGTGGGGAGCTTGTCTTCTGTAACTGTTGGGAAGGCTCAGCGGTCCAGTCCCTCTAGCTGTGGCAATGAGGCCAGCCCAGAAATCTGCCCTCCAGGAGCTACCCTGTCCCATCAGGGTGTTGCCGATCCCCTCAGGGAGCAGATCCACCAAAGGGACTTCTCACAGGGGAAGTCCAGCTCCTGTCGCAATGGGCTGATCAGGTATCCCCCGGAGGCTAATTCCCGAGGTATATAAGCCTGTGTGCAGCCACACTGGAGCTGGAACGAGGCAGCAGTACCGACTGGGGGCTTGTCTCCCTCCTGGAGGGAAAACACAAAGCAGCATTTGGGGAGAATCCCAGCGTCCTGCCCCCGAGAGCCCCGTCGTCCATGGTGCCACCTCCTGGCTCCCACCATGGGGGTCTCCCTTTGCAGGGCCAGCACCCACAGAGCTGTGAAGGAATGGACTCTCCGTGGCTTTGGCATTTCATCCTACCTCGGGATGTCCCAGGACTTTGCCCTGTATCCTTTTGTGTCTTGCTCATACCCCTTGTCTCCTTTGTCAAACGACTGAGAAAAGAGCATACTTCAGCCGGGGAATGCTCCCTATGGGTTGATGCAAAGGAACTTCAGCCCGGCTATTTCTACATGAGATCCTTGTGACTTGCGGCCAGCGTTCTGGAGATTGGATTGAGGGAGCAAGCCTGCTTGGTTTGGTTAGTGATCCTTCGGCACGCTAATCTCACCATTTGGGTTCGGGCACCCTCTGAAGATGTCAAAACCAAAAGAGGCTGCCTTTGTGGCCTGAGATTTCAATACCGATAAAACCTGTTTTAGCCACATCCACCCCCTCGGTGGTCCCGGTGACCCGAGGAGGACGTCCTAATGTAAAAAAGGCAAGAACTTCCCTCCAAGGACTTTTGTTAAATGTCTCTTACTGGATAATGTCATACCAGAGAGAGGTGCTTGCTTTTAGAAAATTATTTACATACATATATGAACACATATGAATACATACATGTGTGTATTCATGTTATTATCAAAATTGTAAGCCCTACAGAATTTCAATTTGTGAAAAATCTGAAAGAAAAAAAAAAAAAACAACCCTGAATGAAATTGAAAGGTAATGAAATTTGACCCAGTGGGTTTCCTCAAGCATTTTTAAAATTTACTTAAGTTAATAATTTCAGAGAAAATAACCATTTGGACTTGGTTATACTTGAAGATCTGTTTCTTCAATCCAAGAAAAATTCCAGACACGTCTCAGCCATTAGCAACAAAGGGGATAGCGTGAAGGGACAGTTCTGAACCAAAATTCACATTCTTGAGGCAACAGAAATCTAAAGGCTATTGAGTGGAAAAATAACTTTTCTCTATTCCTATAGGGAAATAGGCTTGCTTTACTTTTGTTTTCAATGTGATTTTGGTACTGGGGATATAATTCTTTCATTCCGGGAAGATTTTTAAAAGAGCCGGTCTATTTCATTTTTAAAGGAAAACAGCAACAACAAAGAACTCAACCCTGATATGCAAAGGCTTTTCCAAAATGTAAAATGGTAGGTTATACCACTTAAAGGTACTGGAGAGAAAAAGGAATGAAGGACTCAGCATGACGCTTTCTCTGGAGAGATCAGAGCATCACCTCTGCATCTTTTCCCACAGGCTCTTGGCAATTGTGGGCTTAGGAAATTTAAGCTAATTTTCATTTCTAGCTAAAGTGAAATCAGAATTCGGAAGGTAAATCTGACACACACATACATATATATACATATATATGTGCATTTTTGTAATTCAAACAATGTATTTGAAAGCTAAATATAAATACCTTTTAGATGATCAGTCATTTCATCTTACCTGTGCTGGGAACACATCTTTTTTTTTTTTTT